CACAGACGAGGTTCCCGCTCGAGACGTTCTCCACATTCTGGCCTGAAAAAGACAGAACCGACGACGGTTACAGGATTCCCGTGACCCGCTCGGATTACGAACATGATCTGCGCGCTCCATAAGCAGGGGGCTCCCGCCTGAGACTTCCTCGCAACTCACTCAATGGTAGTTACGTGTGAATGAATGAGCAACTCAAGAGAAGAGAGTGAGTGAGTGGGATAGCGAGTAAGTTATGAATGAACGACAGTGGTCGAGGAAGTGTGGGTGAGTGTGTAAGTGATAATGATGTGGTGGTGTTGATGATGATGCTATGAGTGTGTGAGTGTGTGAGTGAGTGGCGAGGAACAGAAGGAAAAGGAGAGATCCTGCGCGGGGGGTGCGCAGAGCAAACAAGAACCCCACTTAGGACGTGCAGAAAAAACTGACAAGCAAACTGGCATACAGACAGACAGGCAGACACACAGACAGACAGGCAGGCAGGCAGACAGACAGACAGACCGACAGACAGACACGCAGACGCACAGACAAATACAGATCCCACGTTGCTGGTCCGCCGAACGGCGATGGCTCACGGGCGCGCCCCAGCCGTGCCTGGAGAACGAGGCCATGGCACGGAGCACAGCGCGGAGTCCAAGCCAGCTCAAGCAGTGGATTGGCCCCGATGTACCTGGGGCCCCAGCTGGATTGCACCAGTGCAACCGCGGGGATTTCAGAAGGCTGCGCGCGCAAGTCGTGCACGGGGGGGGGAGAGGGAGAGAGAAGAGAGGAGAGAGAAGAGGAAGGGGAAGAGGAGAGGGGGAGGTGGACGAAGAAAAGGAGCAGGCCAAAGCACAGGCTAAGTTAGGCCAAAAAACAATAATCAGCGCCAGTAGATGATTGTGAGTTGACGCACCAGAACGCACGCAGGAACAATATCGGAGATTATCGTGGCGACGACAGTCAGCCCAGAAGGAGGAAGGGGAGGGGGAGGAGGGGGAGGAGGAGGAGGAGGAGGAGGAGGAGGAGGAGGAGGAGGAGGAGGAGGAGAAGGAAGAAGGAACGAGCGGCCGCGCTCCCCCTGCTTGCGGCCGGCCGCCTGGCGGACCTGTCGGGCAGTGAATGCCTGCAGCCCCGCGCTCGGGGCCGTGTAGGCCCGCGCCAGCTCGCGCTGCTCCCGGTCTCCAGCAGCCAGGGCCGCGCCTCGGCCCCCAACCTGCCGCCCGTTTCCAGGAAGAAGGTCCGTCAGTTGCGCGCCCGGACAGCGCGCGTGTGCTTGTCACGCTCGCCACGGCGCCGAGCTTCCCCACCGCGCCGAGCAGCCACCCGCAGCTCGGCAGCCGTGCACGCCGCAGGGTGGCGGACGGTCATGTCTAGTCGTATGCGGCCTCTGTCGTCCTGGCACTCGAGGTCCAGGACCGCGCGCTCGGGGCGCCCTCCGCGGAGGCGATCCCACAATGGGGCCCGCTACTCAGAGGGAGGCCCCTCGCCCCGGGAGCCAGCGAGCAGACACACGGACAGGCAGGCAGACAGACAGACAGACAGACAGGCAGGCAGGCAGGCAGGCAGGCAGGCAGACAGGCAGGCAGGCAGGCAGGCAGGCAGGCAGACAGGCAGGCAGGCAGGCAGGCAGACAGACAGACAGAGACAGATTGACAGACAGACAGACAGCAAGACAGGCAGACAGCCAGCCAGACTGGCAGGCAGGCAGGCAGGGGGGCAGGCAGGCAGGCAGGCAGGGGGCAGACAGGCAGAGGGGTAGACAGATGGAAAGGGGGGCAGACAGACAGACGGACGGACAGAGAGACTGACATCGTCACCGTCGTCATTCCACCAGTGTCGCCAGGTTGAAACCATGCCCGATCGTTGGCACTTGCAGTGGTGGATTACTCCACCTGAGTTGAAGGAGTAAGGTTTAAGGATCGCCACCTCGTCGCTAGAGACTGTAACACTTGTTCACAAGCCGGCTCCACTGTGACCTGCAATTGGTCTTCGACCCTCTGTCGTCATGCAAACCGAACGGCATTAGGTATCATTCGAGGATGCTTCGCTTTAAGTTGCGTGGTCATATCGACAACAATGAACAAATGCGAGGCGGAGATCCAAGCTGGAAAGAAGGCGCGGGGCCCACAGCCAATAAACACCACTGCTCACCTTCCCATCTCCAGTGCGCGTATGCCTCTTACGACCTCTTCAATCGCTACTAATCCCTATCCTGCACCATCGCTCACCTCGACAAGATGCAGTCACGATGGATGCGAACATTATGTATGAATATACAACGGCCGCTCCCTGCAACCTGTAAGCGCACTCGTCGCGAGTGGGAACGAAGAGTTGAACACTACATTCGGTGCGAGACGCTACTCCGATATGTCCGTCCTCTCTGAACCTCTCCGCGGCGAAGCACACAGCAACGATGATCTGCATACGTGAGCATTACCTCGCCCGACTATGTCCGGTGACGTTCCTGCACTCGAGGGCCCCGACTGCTCAAGGTCGCGGCCCATGAACATGTAACGTCCAGGCGCCTGTTGCATCTACACCCTTAGAATTGCCAGACCTTGAGTAAGCGCATCTCCCCCCAGTACTCCCTCTGTCTCCGATGCGTGCCCCAGGCACCAGCAGTATGACTGTTACGATGGCGCTGATGGCGGTGTAACCTCGGGTGGGGCTCCGAAAGGGTGAGGAGTCACTTCCACCTACAGGCGTCAAGTGAAAGCATTACTTGACTGCTGGCTGCGTCCACCAGACCGAGTGGACGAGCAGAGTAAAGCGCGCAAATACACCAGTGACTGCTGGTGTCTGCCAGCACCAGGAGCATACGGGCGTAAAGAGCAACTGCCGTAGAAGACACCATTTCTTGATCCCTTCTTGGAGAGAGGAGCCAGCCAGACCATCGCGATATAGCGCGCGGAAGCTAGAAAACACAGACAGCATGCGGTGGCGCAGCCCATTGCGACGAACCGAGAGACGAATCTGCAACCGCTGCCACTGCAGAGACCAACGCTGCAGGCAAAACTTGGTTCGGGTCAGCATGCAACTCCAGATCCCACTGGTTCATACGCTGTTTACAAGAGCCCCCTCAGAACCCCTGGCGGACACCCTACGCCCGATCAGAACAACGGGCACGAATGTCGAGTGAGGGGGCCAAACGGTCCTTCACTGACACTAGGCGCGTGGCTGAAGTGAAATTCCGCGGTGCGGATTATTGTTGTTGGTTGTTGTTGTTATTGTTGTTGGTGGTGGTGCTATTGATGTTGTTGTTGGTGGTGTTGTTGCTGGTGTTGTTGTTGTTATTGTTGTTGTTGGTTGCTGTTGTTTACTTGTTGTTGTTTGTCGTCGTCCCCCCCGCGACCGGGCCCGCGACCCACCCGCGACCGCCCGCGACTTACCCACGACCCACCCACGACAACCCGGCCCGCGACCCACCCGCGACCCACCCGCGCCCCACCCGCGACCCACCCCGCGACCCACCCCGCGACCCCCCCCCCCGCGACCCACCCGCATTGATTTAGCAATCATATGGGCGCCTGAGGTGAGCTGGTCGCATAATTTGTAAAAGTTCAGCGTCTGCAGCGGCCTTCTTCAGAGCCTCGCAGACTGCCGACGTTCCCGCCGCCCCCTCACTCTCATCCGCAACTCCTCCTCCTCCTCCTCCTCCGCCTCCTCCTCCCTCCTCCTCCTCCTCCTCCTCCTCCTCCTCCTCCTCCTCCTCCTCCTCCTCCTCCTCCTCCTCCCCCTCCCCCTCCTCCTCCTCCTCCTCCTCCTCCACAGGATCCTCCAGCTGGCGCACCCCTCACGCACTTCGTGCCCCTTGGAGATCCAGAAGTGACTGCGGGCCCTCAAGACGGATGAAAAGAGCCTCGTCTTCTGGATCCCAGAGGCTTCAATATGGCCCCCCAAAAAATCCTCCGAGAGGGTCAGTCAAGAGGGCCCCAAGAGACTACCCAGACGATCAGGGATCAAGGAGACCCATTCTGGCCCCAACATGTGCCAACGAGCCTCCAGATGATCTGGCTCAGATGATCTCCAATACAGCCCTGAGACAACTCCACGACAGCAGAAGACATTTCCAAGACGGCTCCAAGACATCGCCAAGACTCAGGAGAAGCCTAAGAGCACCAAGAACTACCCAAGAAGACCTAACAAAGACAAGAGGACCTCGACGCCTCTCAAAGAACAATGACTACCTGTTTGTATTGTGGGCTTGTTCCAAGGTGGCTATGCGGGCTCAATATTCAAGGTGAGAGCTCCTGCGTGCAAGCACTTCTTGAGAAATTTCAAGAATGGAGTCGGACCCTCAATCTAATGTTGGGGGCCATATGAGAGAGAACAGCGTTTCACGTGTCCCTGGGCCTCGGAATGCTCGCCACGGGCCGCGCGACTCGAGAGTACCAGCCCACCCCTCCGAATGAAATGCAAAGAAAACGGGTGGAGAGCTGGAGGAGGAGGAGGAGGAGGAGGAGGAGGAGGAGCAAGAGCAGGAGGAGGAGGAGGAGGAGGAGGAGGAGGAGGAGAAGGAGGGCTTTTAAGGCATGGTTTTGCAGATCTGTGCCCCTGCAAAGCCCCTGCTGGCTCCAAGCGCCCCGAGGCATGTCCATCCGCAGGGACGCCGGGAGGGCCCGGCTCGTCCCCTCTCCTGCGGCTGCCCTGGAAGCTGCTCGCGTCAGCCCAGCGTGCAGGAGCAGCGAGGCGAGCGCTCCTCGTCGCAGAGGCAACCCTTCACAAGAACTGCGTGGATATCTGTTGGCCTCTGATGTACGAAATTCTTCGAAATTTCAATGTTTGTCGACGGCACTGCCTCGTGTTACGAATCCTCGTTTGAAGGAGCGCAGCGGGCAACACGGCATCCCGGACGAGAGCGCGATGACAGTGTGACCGTCTTGCGCCGTCTTCGCTCCTCGCGATTACCAACAAAGCATCAAGCCTAACAATATTCCTCGCCTCCCTCCCCATGCCCACCATGCGCAAGCATCCGCATAGACCGAAGACTCCAGAGAGGACTGCAAGTGCTACAGGCGTGCCTAAGAACAGAATGAACAACTTCTGGTTAGAGAAGCCAACGCAGTTGTTGACCCAAGGGCAGTGATGGTCCTGCACACGAGAGGCGACTCCCGACGACTTTGCCCCGTCATGCCACCCTGAGATTCGAGTGTTGGAGCCAGGCAGCATCAATAACAACGACAACAAAAAAACGACAACTGATGATTGTCGTTGCGTCGGCTCTGCCTCACGAACCTCGTCAAAGTGGTAATCACAATGGATGTACCGTGCGTTTATAACCCCAGAACACACTATGAGCATGTACATGTGTAAACATCTGCCGACCTCTGCGGGGGGTTCGAATCGTGGAACAGCCCCCTCCCGCGCCCCCTTCCCCAGGAACCCGCCCCGACCAACTTGGAATAAAGGAAGCACCAGCGACAACCCCCGAAGGACTCACCTGACCCAAAGATGTTCCACGAGGGAGATATCAACAAGGCCCCCAGATCAACAAAAAACCTTACCCATCTCATCTGCTCACTCCATCTCTCTCATTCTCAGGGAGTCGGCGAATTCGCGCAAAATCGTGAGACACCTGGCTGGATAGCGCGGCGACGGTGTCAAGCAACCGAACGCACCTCTCCCCCCACAACCTTCCCCCCCTGTTGCTGATCCCCTCTGCATTTCTCTCTCCCTCTATCTCTCTCTCTCTCTCTCTCTCTCGCTTTCTGTCTCTCTCTCTCTCTCTCTCTCTCTCTCTTCTGCTCTCTCCTGCTCTCTTCCGTTACCCGTTTCCCTGCATCGCCATACCATCACCTTCCTCCTTCTGCTCCTCCTCCTCCTCCTTCTCCTCCTCCCCCTCCTCCTCCTCCTCTTCTCCTCCTCCTTCTCCTCCTCCTCTCCTGCTCCTGCTCCTGCTCCTGCTCCTCCTCCTCCTCCTCTTCTCCTCCTCCTCATCCGTTTCCTCCTCCTCCTCCTGCTCCTCCTCCTCATCATCATCATCCTCCCTCCCTTCTTTCGCCTCCTCCTCCTCCTCCTCCTCCAACTCCTTCTCTCTACTCCTCCTCCTCCCTCTTCCTCCTCCTCCTCCTCCCCTCTCCCTCCTCATCATTCATCATCATCATCATCATCATCATCATCATCATCTCATCATCATCATCATCATCCTCATCTTCCGCCTCCTCCTCATCCCATCTCCTCCTCCTCCTCCTCCTCCTCCTCCTCCTTCCCCCCCCGCCTCCCATTCCTCCTCCTCCTCCTCCTCCTCCACCTCCTCCTCCACCTCTTCCTCCTCCGCCTTTTCTTCTTAAGTTTACTCTTAGTATCCTTAGTAATTGCCGTATTAGAGTTATTCGTATCATTAGTAGTGTTAGTGTTAGTAGTATTGGTATTATTATCGTCGTATTATTACTGTTAGTAATAATATTCGCATTAGTGCATGATTGTGCGTAGCCTTCTTATTATTAGTTTTGTTGTTCTTCGTATTAGTAGTATTCGTCTTCTTATTTGCATTATAATCCGTTTTATTATGACTCATAGTATTAGCTTTCCTATTCGTATTAGTATAAGTGTTGTTATTATCGTTGGTGCGATTAATATGCGTCGCATTAGTCGTAGTATTAATAGTGTTGTAAATCGTATCATTCGTCGTATTATTAGTGGTCTTGTTATAAGTGATCTTAGTATTAATGTGCGTATTATTCGTTTTAGATTCATTGTCGTCGCGTCCTCACTAATATGGTTCGTATTGAGGGTGTGTCTTAGTGTTCGTATTATTAGTATGGTTCGTTTGAGTCGTGATAGTGTTGTCAGTATTGCAATGTTACTAATATTATTACTACTGACACTAGTAGTATTCGCATGTTTCGTATCGGCTGAATTAGTATTGTTAGTCTTAGTCGCATCCGTCTTGTCCATATTAATAATATTAGCCTTAGTAGTGATAGTGGTCATCTTCTTCGTTTTATTATTCGAATAATTCGCACTACGCGTATTAGTATTAGTAGTACCCATTGAGTATTATCAGTGTTATTAGCCTTGGTATTCTTACAATTAGTGTCCTTAGTATTGTTAGTATTAATATTCGCATATTCAAAATTATTATTATTATGGTTATTCCCAACATCCAAAGTGGGGTTCTTGTTTTCTCTGGACACCCCGCGCAGGAACAGGAACACACACACACACACACACACTCACACTCACTCACACTCTCTCATCATCAACCTCATCAGCATCATCGATGATGCTCTCTCACATGCTTACTCACTCACATACTCATCATCATCATAACTCGCACTCTCTCACACGCTCACGAACATCATCATCATCATCATCATCGGCATCGGCATCATCCTCATTCAAACATCATCATCGCCACCACCACTCACAATCAATCATCATCCTCTTCACCACTCATCTTCACCACCACTCATCATCCTCATCCTCATCATCGTTGAGTAAATTGTGAGGAAGTCTCAGGCGGGAGCCCCCTCCCTATGGGGCCCGCACATCACGTTGGTAATCCGAGCGGGTCATCGGGATCCTGTAACTGTCGTCACTTTTGAGCTCCCCGGGCCTGAAAATGGAGGAAGTCTTAGGCGGGAGCCACGTTTGTGAGTGAATTGGGAGGAAGTCTCAGGCGGGAGCTCCCTCCCTATGGAGCCCGCAGATCATGTTGGTAATCCGAGCGGGTCATCGGAACCCTGTAACTGTCGTCACTTTTGGGCTCCTCAAGCCTGAATTTGGAGGAAGTCTCAGGCGGGAGCCTCGTCTGCGAGTGAATTCTGAGGAAGTCTCAGGCGGGAGCCCCCTCCCTATGGGGCCCGCAGATCATGTTGGCAATCCGAGCGGGTCATCGGGATCCTGTAACTGTCGTCACTTTTGAGCTCCCCAGGCCTGAAAACGGAGGAAGTCTCAGGCGGGAGCCTCGTTTGTGAGTGAATTGGGAGGAAGTCTCAGGCGGGAGCCCCCTCCCTATGGGGCCCGCAGATCACGTTGGTAATCCGAGCGGGTCATCGGAACCCTGTAACTGTCGTCACTTTTGGGCTCCTCAAGCCTGAATACGGAGGAGGTCTCAGGCGGGAGCCTCGTCTGTGAGTGAACTGCGAGGAAGTCTCAGGCGGGAGCCCCCTCCCTATGGGGCCCGCAGATCATGTTGGTAATCCGAGCGGGTCATCCAAAACCTGTAACTGTCGTCAATTTTGGGTTCTCGCGCTGCCAGAACGCAGTTCCCAGGCCACATTTTGGACGCAACAAGGAAGTTTTTGGGCTCCTCAGGTCGCCGAGGTGCTGCGACAGGGCGCCGAAGGCGCCGACGACGACGGCCAGGCCGAGGCGCTGGCGCGGAGCTTGCTGATGTTCAGGCCCAGCGAAAGGGAGCTCACATGGCAGAGCTCGGGGGCGCACAGCGTGCGCCGCTCGGGGTTCACCCTGACGCACGCGTCCTACCTGACCTCCACGCTGTCGCAGGGCCAGACGCTGCGCAAGGGCGTCACCATCGACTGCGCGAGAGACGAGGACGCTGGCCGCACGGGCATGTCGGACGAGCAGTGGTGGCTGCACCTCTACGTCATGTTCTCCCGCGCCACGTGCATGCGGAACATGCTGATCCTGCGGCCGCCGCCGCGAGAGTTCCTGGAGTGCGGGCCGCCGGCGTCCCTGCGGAAGGCGCTCCTGGAGTTCGACAAGAGAGCGGTTTTGTCCAGGGCGGAGGCGAAGCAGCTCGCGGCAGAGCTGGGCTTCGTGCTGCCTTCCGCCTGAGCGCGGCTGCGCCTCGCTCGAAGCCCGCGGGGTTGTCCCAACGGCTTGGTCTTGCGCGCCAACGGCTCGCGGGGTTGTCCCGACAGCCTGGCCCGCGGGGTTGTCCCAACGGCTGCGCGACGTGACCAGTAGAGAACGCGCCTGTGCTGGCCGTGGCGGCGACGGCGCCGAGGAACATCGACATGCGCGCTCATGCAACAGGAAGGGGAGGAGGTGGCGGGGCGCGGAACAAACAGGGGGGCGAGGATGGGGACAACGTAAGGAGTGGAAGGGGGGCCCGCGCCAAGGCGAGAGGAAATATACGCAGAAGAGACAGCCAGGACGCCTCACCAACCACGAGGACGACGGTGATGGCTTTTTCCAGATTCGCCCAGAGGATTCTTATGTGGGGTTCTTCCGTCGGAGTAATTGTTATTATTAGCGTTAGTATTAATATGATTATCCTCCTCAACAGTTTTTCTCCTTATTATGCATGTCTCCTCATATTCTCCTCTCCGCCCTCCTCCTCCTCCTCCTCCTCCTCCTCCTCCTCCTCCCCCTCCCCCTCACCCTCCCCCTCCTCCTCCTCCTCCTCCTCCGCCTCCTTCTCCGCCTCCGCCTCCTCCTCCTTCTCCTCCTCCTCCTCCTCCTACTCCTCCTGCTCCTCTTCGTCCGACCGAGCAGGGTCGACGGCACTGGCCGTAAGGCCATCACAATAAAAAATATGACGCCACCCTCCTCGTCATCCCCCCACCAATTTGCAATAATCCAAAGGGCACGGTTCAAATAATCCACCACCATGCCTGCACAGGATGGGCGTGTTAGCATGCGTTGTTGGTTTCTGGCGAGTTCGTTTTACACTCGTATTGGGCCGACCCCCCTCGACGCGCGCGTTACCCGAAGACCATCATCGTCATCGGCGTGATCAGCATCGCGGCAGTCATTGGTCTTGCCGTCGTGTTCGTCATCGTTGTCACCAGCATGGCCAGCGCGGCCTGCGAAACGCGCTGGGGATTGCCCAGCGGTCAGCGCCACCATTGTCGCGTCGGTCGTACCAGACTACCTGGCCGCTCTGCGCACGAGCCTGCGCGCGCTAGCGCGGCCGCAGCGGTGCGCCAGCCAGCGCCAAGCAATAATCGCAATCGCCGCCGCATGGGCTTTGCCATATGAGTTGCGGGCGGGTGGGCGGGATGATTGCGCGAGCAATGGAATTGGCAACTTCAGGTTCGGCAGGGCAAATTGCACCACGTAGCTTGCATCACACAGCTTGGAACCTATGGATTGCACTACATAGCGTGCGCCACATGTTTGCACCACGTAGCTTGCACATCCAGTGCAACCACGTGAACTGATGTAGCTCTGATGCCAGAAATGTCCCACAATCGGCTTCGACGAGGGGGGGTCGGTGTCCAAGTGACGGCGATGAGGGTTGTGAAAAATTGTCGACGTGGGCGCGGCCAACGGGCGCGAGTGGCCCGCATGGTATTATTTGACAGGGATCGTGCCCCCTCCCCCAGCACGCACGAATGATTTTGACATACGCGCGCGAAGGGCCCGTGTGATCGCATGTGGTGAGCATGTTGAGAAGCGATGGCTTATTCTAAGACTTCGCAAGAGCGCGCGCACAGGGGTTGGCGGACGCGTGCGAAGGTCGCCGTTGGGGCCTTCGGTTGGTCTCCGTATGTGACCACGAAACGCTGTAATGGATGGGGCGGACGCGTGCGAACGTCGCCATTGGGGCCTTCGGTGGAGCTTCCTATGGGGCCACGTACTGGGCGGGGCGGACGCACGCGAACGTCGCCACTGGGGCCTTCGGTGGAGATGGGGCCACGAAGTGCTGCACCAGGTGGGGCGGGCGCATGCGAACGTCGCCATTGGGGCTTTCGATGGAGCTCCCTATGGGGCCACGAAGTGCGGTACTGGGTGGGGCAGACGCATGCGAACGTCGCCACTGGTGCCTTGGGTTGAGCGCCCTATGGGGCCACGGGACGCTGTAATGGGTAGAGCGGACGTCGCAACAGGGGGCTTTTATGGAGCTCCCTATCAGGCCACGAAACGCTGTACTGGGTAGGGCGAACGCATGCGAACGTCGCCATTGGGGCCTTCGGTGGAGCTTCCTATGGGGCCACGAGACGCTGTACTGGGTGGGGCGGACGCATGCGAACGTCGCCACTGGTGCCTTCGGTGGAGCTCGCCATGGGGCCACGAAGCGCTGTACTGGGTGTGGCAGACGCGTGCGAACGTCGTCACTGAGGCCTTCGGTGGAGCTCCATATGGGGCCACGAAACGATGTGCTGGGCGGGGCGGACGCGTGCGAACGTCGCCACTGGGTTTCGGTGGAGCTCCCTACGGGGCCACGAAGCGCTGTACTGGGGTGTGGCGGGCGCAAACGAACGTCGCCACTGGGGCCTTCGGTGGAGCTCGCTATGGGTCCACGGGGCGAACGTGGCGACATGCGGTAAGCACAGGCATCCAGGGGGGCGGAAGAGGAGGAGTAGAGAGGGAGCGAGGGAGACGCGGGGCACTGTCTCTTCAACACCACAGGTTGGTTGGGAAAAGCGCACCTGCGGGAGCGTCATTGGTTGTTTTTGGCGTGTTGTCATTTCGAGTTCGAGTCGTCTTCGGGTCTTCTGGTCAGAATTAATGGGCGGGCGGAGAATGCGACGCATTTTGAATAACGAGGTCCGCCACCACGCGTAAAGGACGCCGGCGTGTGGCAAGCCATTTTCGGGTTTTCCCATGTTGGGCTTTGCAAAGCAACGTGGCCAACTTTCCGTACAGACCTGCCCGTGAGAAACACCGAAGCGTCTCGTCCCCTGGAGGGCCCCTGGCCGAAGAAACCCCCAAAGGAGGGCCGCAAGGCAGCCCAAGACTACCGACCCAAGGTGACTCTGAGACGGCCCGAGACTGGCCCGAGACGGCCCAAGGAACGGCCCAAGGCAGCCCCGACAACCCCACAAACGGCCCCCAGGACACACACACACACACACAACGGCACCAAAACCCCCCAGACCCAAGACGCTATCTGAAAGGCCCCCCGAGAGGCATCGCGACGGCCATGCCGCGTCACGGCCACGCTGTACCGCAGTGTTACTGCACGGCTTTCAGAAGCGTGGTGGCGGGAATGCGTTACAGCGCACCCGGTTGCCTCACGCCTGACCCAAAATGTGCAAGGGCCTGGTAAGTGAACACCCTCTCTCCACAGGCCCGACGATTCGATGGCCGGCGACTGGTCTCCACCGACCTGGGCTTCGGCGTGAGCCAAGGCACTGTGTGTAGGGAGCCCACAAAGGACGTACGCGCCCAGCCACGTACACAAATACGGCGCCCTATCCGCGAGACCAGCCTCGTGATACGAACGTTCGCGCAATGCGCGCCTTCGAAACCAGCGTGGATTCGTGCACATCCTTCTTTGGCTCCTGAGTGTTGGGAGGCTCCCCCGAAAGCGATGAGCGGGCGGCGTCCATGCGGAATATGCACCGTTTGCAGGTCTTGCAGTGGTGCGCCCGCGGAGGCTTCCACCGTTCCTCACCAGAGACGGGGGAGGACGACGGCGACGACGGCGACGGCGACGACGACGACGACGACGACGACGTCGTCGACGGAGACGACGACGGCGGCGGCGGCGTCTCCAGCGGCGGCGGCGGCCCAGGCTACAACGGCGGCGAGGACGACGGGGAAGCCGAATAGGACGAGGCAGGTCAGAAGGGGGACAGAAGAGCCGAAGATGGAGAGAAGGAGAAGGCGACGAGGACGAGGAGCGGGGGGCAGAGGCCAAGGCGAAGGGGGGAGGGAAGAGAGGAGGCGAGCGACGGGGGAGGGGGGAAGGAGATGTCTCGCGCGGCAGAGAAAGGACACCGACTGCGCCGAGAGCGGGCACGCAGCAAGCGGCACGCTGGCCGCGCCACCGGCGAGGCATCCGGGGCACCACCCAAGCGGCCAGGGTCGCCGAGCGGCGAGCGCGGAGGCGGCCAGCCGCGGTCGAGAGGGGTCCACGGGCCTCGTCGCGCGGCAGGGCTGGCCGGGAAGGGCGCCCCTCGCGCGGCAGGGCTGGCGGGACGGCGTCGGAGGGGGGTACCGCCTCCCCGGAGGCCTCTGCGGGAGAGCACTGACGGGCCAGGTGGAGGAGGCCACCCAGCGAGCACGAGGCCCGCGGCGGGGTTGTGGAGGTGTCCGAGGTGGCAACCGGAGCCGTCTGCTCGGTGCCGGTGGGCGCGCACGAGGTGCGCTGCCTGCAGTGTCACAGCGCACCGCATGCCACCTCCCTGCCTGCCCTTCGCCCACCCCCACGCGCGGCGGGGATCCGAGCCCGCGAGGCCGCGGCCGTAAGCTTGAGGGCACGGCGCCTTGTCGTCGGGCCGGGCGGGGCTCCTCACGGTGATGGGTCCCCTTGACGGGCGCCCCTTCGACCCCAACTATGTTGGTGACCTGCGAGGCGCTCTCACCAAGAGGCTATGCTATGCCGCCCACGGGCGACGGCACCCTTCGACAGCCGACAGAGCCGACAGTGCAACCGAAACCGGCCGGCCGCAAGCAGCCTAGAAGGGCGCAGCGACGCAACAACGAAGCGGCAAGAGACAAAGCCGCCGAACCGACTGGACCGCAGAGACCCCTGCCTGCGAGCCTGGCCGCCCTGACCCCATCCCGCGCCCGAGAGGTTCCTCCTGCCCCTCGCGGCAGAGCGTGCACCACTTCGTGTTCTGGAGCTCCGGCGGCGGCTTGCTGGCGCGCGCGGCCGCGGGGTGCCGCCGTCGCGGGGAGGGGAAACGGGGCGAGCGAGGACTGGCAGCGAGCACACATGTCGGCGAGGACGATATGGGGCAAATAGCCCAGGGGCGGGCATTACATGCATTCGCCGGGGAGCCTCACCGAAGACACGGACCGATCGGCGCCCCTGGATACTCCGGATTTCGCCATAGAAAGTGGGGAGATCACATTTGGGGGGGCTCTGCTTTGAGCTGTCTTGGAGGGTTCCGCGGGGTCTGAGGAAAAGGCCGCCCTCTCATGGCTGGTCGGGGGGGGGTCCAAAATTGCTCGCCTGGGAGGGTTGTGGCCCCCTCCCTTCGATTACGAGATCTGGAGCACATGTGTGGCTCTTCCCTGGGCTGTTCGCCCCTGTCGTCGCCTCGGAGCAGAAGGGCCGGCTCCTGGCCCCCCGGGTCCCGGGCAGGAGGGCAAGCGGAGCAGGGGCGAGCAACGATCAAAATGGGGCCTTGAGCGAGATGGCACAGCGACCTTGCGCGGCAGCTTACGCGGGCCGCCAGCGCGGCACGCTGCACTGGAAGCGAGGGCGCTTGCGCGGGACCTTACCCGAGCAGCTCACGCGCTAGTGTCGGCGCAGACGACCCCCCTTTTCTTGCGTCGCTTGGGTGCCGGCCCCTCCGCCAGGCAGCCGCTCGCGCCGGAGGTGCTCCTCCTCGGCTCGTGAGCAGCTAGGGCATGGGCGCCAGGGGGTCCTGGGTGCCATTCGGGGGCGTGCCAAAGGTGCCCCTGGCCCAGGGTGCCTCCAGCTTCTCGCTCCACCTTGGAGCCCCCGGGCCCCCTGGGCCTCGTGAGGGGTGCTCTGGAGGCTGTGAGGGGTCCTCCTTGGGGATTCCCGGGGGCACCCTTGGGCCAGGGGCACTTCTAGCAACACCCGAAAATCGTGGTCATGGCCATCGTGTTCCTTCCACGACGACGACGACGACGACGACGACGACGACGACGACGACGACGACGACGACGACGACGACGACGACTCCCAGAGATCCTCCTGGCAACGCCCTCGAGCTGCCTGGGTGCCCTCCTTGGGGATTCCTGGGGGTGCCCCTGGGCCAGGGACACATCTGACTACTTACCAGACCACCCCAACCCAACCCGAAGACCCGAATTTCGGATTGGCGGGGGTACGGGTTCCATATGTGTGTTTTTCCATGTTCCCCGACCCCCCCCCACTGGAAATGCAGGGCAAATCGGGGCCTTCAGGTTGGGTTGGGGTGGTTTGCGGCTGGTGAACTTCTGGCAGCACCCGACGTAGCGAAAAAAATGCAACATAGTGAAAATCCGCGCCCAGAGCCCCGGACCCAATCTGTCTGCGCCATTTTTTCAAGCCGGATCGATCTGTGGGGGCCCCGGGACCCGCAAGGAGGCGAAAACGCCCGGCTCGACAAGAAACGAGCCGCCAGGATCTCAGGGACAGGCCCGACTCGAGGCCAGGGGCACTTCTGGCAGCGCCCGACACGGGGGCCCCGCCCGCCCCCCTGCTGGGCCTCCGGAGCCCTGCCCGCCCTTTGGGGCCGCGCCGAGCCTCGGCCCCGCGTGCGCTCCCCGGCCTGGCTGCGCGAGCCCGCGGCCCCTCGCGAGGCCAGGGCGGTCCTCGCTTCGGCGCCGTCGTCGGTCGGTCGTCGGTCGTCGGTCGTCGGTCGTCGGTCGGCGGTCGTCGTCGTCGTCGGTCGTCGGTCGTCGGTCGTCGTCGGCGGTCGTCGTCGTCGTCGGTCGGCGTCGTCGTCGTTGGTCGTCCGTCCTCGTCGTCGTCGGCGTCGTCGTCGTCGTTGTCGTCTGTCACTCGGCGCCAGCGCGCGCCCACGCTTCCTGGGCAGGGTGGGGTGCCCGAGCCCCGACGGGCGAGGAGCGGGCGGTTGGGGTGGGGGCTCCGTGAACGCCCCCCTGGGCGAGTCGCGGAGGGAGGAGGAGGAGGAGGAGGAGGAGGAGGCGGAGGAGGAGAAGGAGGAGGAGGAGGAGGAGGAGGAGGAAGAAGAGGAGGGGGAGGAGGAAGAAGAGGAGAATGGGGGGCGTCTCAAAGGAGACTGCTTCTGAAAAGGCACCAGCCCTGCATCTTTTTTTTTTTATAAAAAAAAAAAAAAAAAAAAAAAAAAAAAAAAAAAAAAAAAAAAAAAAAAAAAAAAAAAAAAAAAAAAAAAAAAAAAAAAAAAAAAAAAAAACGAGCTCTGGCACTCTGAGAAACAGCTGGCCATCGCTCGGACGACCATATTCGCGTGCATCTTTCGATCTCGGGCGTGTATCTTCCCCACGATGACCCAGGATGCTCCTCGATGGTCCTCGCTGAAGAGGCAGGGGTGCTTCTAAGAAGCCCTGCCCCTTCCCCCCCCCTGCGCGTGGCTGACAGATCCCCAGACTCGACGAGCATGGGGCAGGGGCCCCCGCAGCGAGCTGCTTTGGACCGAGGGCCCCTCCTTGGGGGAAGGTGGGGGGTGAGCCCAAGAAAAGCTCGCGGCCAAAGCGGGGCGGGTGGATTTCTTGACATTCACACTCTGTCCTGCCCGCCTCAGCGACCTGAGGCGGTGCGGACCGCTTTGCAGCTTGGCAGCGCGGAGGCCGAGCGTACAGAGGCTGACAGAGCAGACGCAACAGAACACACGAGCCATACTGTGTGTCCCAACCAAAATTTCATTGCAGGCTGAGGGGGTGTGGCTGGGCACCTGGGGTGCCGCTCCGAGCCTGCGAACAACGCCCTCCCCAGGGGAGGGGCGACAGGCTCTGTTCTCGTTTTCGACCCGTCGCCGCCGTCCTGGCCTCCTCCTCCTCCTCCTCTTCCTCCTCCTCCTCCGCCTCCGCCTCCTCCTCCTCCTCCTCCTCCTCTTCCTCCTCCTCCTCCTCCTCCTCTGAGAGAGAGAGAGAGAGAGAGAAAAAAAAAAAAAAAGAGAGAGAGAGAGAGACGACGACGACGCGCATCGAGGCCTGCCAGGCGGTGGGCGGGAGGCCCTCGGGGCTCGAGTGGCTCGCCCCTCCAGACCTCCCCCCGGCTGCCACCTCGCGCTGGCGGAGGCTCGGCGGATCGAGGCTCCACTCTGGTGAACGTTTTCTTATTCGGCGCCTCGACATTGTTGGAGGCCTGGAAATGGGCACCAACACCAACACAGGGGGGGGCCTCCACAGGGGGAAGACGATCCTAGATGTCGGTGTTGGTGGTAATATTTCGACCACCTCGGAAGCCAGAATATTGCCACCATCACCGAGATCGGGATCTTCTTCCCTCGGTGGAGGCACACCGCCGAAATTGGTATTGGTGTCAACCTCTAGGCCTGCGACTCTGGTGAACGTTTTCTTATTCGGCGCTTCGACAGTGGGCGGAAGTGGGGGAGGGGGGGGAGTCTGGCTCCGGGCCTCTGCTTAGCGCGACTGTTTGCAACGGTGCGTCCTGTGGGGGGAGGGCCCGCGCCGATCGGCAGAACAGTGGATAAGAAAACGATCACCTGAGATCCTGGCGTCTCAATTGTTTCGGGCTGGGCGTCTTCGGCCAGCTGCGAGCTCCAGGGCCCTCATGCATCGATCGGACTCGAAAAGGGGCGCGGGAAGACGAGGCCGGGCCTCTGGCCGTGACTTTTCACGATGCTGGTGTTCGTTCGCTGCGTTGGATCTCACGGCAGGCTGTCCTCCATCGTCGGCCTCTGGAGCCCCCCCCCTGGGACCGTCGGGAATCAATCCGGGACGAGAGGCGGGCCAGGGTGGACCCCTGGAGGGGTCCAGGGACCGACTCTGGCCAGATGTGGGCCCCTGGGAGGACGGGCAAGCCCCCTGGGGCAGCTTTCGGCCCCAAGCTTCGACTGCTTTTCGCGCCGCGGGGGTCGCTTCCCGTATGACGGGCCAATGTTCCACCACCACTACCAGAGGTAGGACGGGGAAAAGTGAGGATGGGGAGGTCCTCTTCCTCCTCCTCCTCCTCCTCCTCCACCTTCTCCTACACATCCTAATAATCATCATCATCATCATCATCATCATCATCATCATCATCATCATCATCATCAGCAGCAGCAGCAGCAGCAGCAGCAGCATCATCATCATCATCATCATCATCATCATCATCATCATCACCATCAGCATCATCATCATCATCATCATCATCATCATCATCATCATCATCATCACCATCATCATCATCATCATCATCATCATCATCATCATCATCATCATCATCATCATCATCATCATCATCATCATCATCATCATCATCATCATCCTCATCCTCATCATCATCATCATCAGCAGCATCAGCATCACCATCAGCAGCAGCATCAGCATCAGCATCAGCATCAACATCATCATCATCATCATCATCATCATCATCATCATCATCATCCTCATCATCATCATCAGCAGCATCAGCATCAGCATCAGCATCAGCATCAACATCATCATCATCATCATCATCATCATCATCATCATCATCATCATCATCATCATCATCATCATCCTCATCCTCATCATCATCAGCAGCATCAGCATCAGCATCAGCATCAGCATCAACATCATCATCATCATCATCATCATCATCATCGTCATAATCATCATCATCAGAAGCATCATCAGCAGCATCATCATCATCAGCATCATCATCACCACCACCACCAACACCATCATCATCATCAGCATCATCATCAGCATCATCATCAGCATCATCATCATCCGCAACAGCAGCAGCAGCATCAGTATCAGCATCAGCATCATCATCCTCATCATCATCCTCATCATCCTCATCATCATCCTCATCATCATCAGCATCAGTATCAGCATCAGCATCAGCATCATCGTCATCGTCATCGTCATCATCGTCATCATCGTCATCATCATCACCATCGTCGTCATCATCATCAGCATCATCCTCGTCATCATCATCCTCGTCATCATCATGATCATCAACATCATAATGTTCATCATCATCACAACCATCATCACCATCATCATCATCGTCATCGTCATCATCATCGTCATCGTCATCATCAGCA